TCTGGTGGTGGAGCCCCAGAGCTGCAGCAGAACTGCAGGGGGGTCTGCCCAGAGCAGAGCAGGGGGGCAAAATCCCCTCCCTCACCCTGCTGGCCACGCTGCTCCAGATTTGGTTGGTTTTCTGGGCTGCCAGCGCACACGGCCGACTCGTGTCCAGCTTTCTATCCCCCAGTGCCCCCAAATCCTTCCCCTCAGGGCTGCTCTCAAGCCATCAGTAACTCAAATACTCACAGGAGGCCATCAGCACTCCCTCAGTGAATCTCAGCAGGTGCTGGAGCTGGTCCTCATCTCACAGCCTTTCCCACCAAGATGTCAGCAGCAGGAAAGAGACCAGCTAGACAAAAAACCACTCTAGCTCTCGGTGCCAACACGAAGTGCATCGTGCTGCCTTCTGGGCAGAGATGCCTATGCTACCCCCTCCGGAATAAGAGGCTGCTGTGCTAAGGGAGAAAATGGTTCCTTCAGCTCTGATATTGAAAAAAACAACAAAGCGTAACACAAGAGGATCTTCCTTTTTCCTGTGATCTGGACAAGACTGATTACTCATCTCACAGGAGAGCACCCTACACAGCCCACACAGGTACCAGGCTAGCACAAGACTCAAATACTGCTTTATTCACAAAAATAACTTCATTTCCAGCTGCAAGTGGTCACGGACACAGCCAAGGGAATGCAAACACCTGCCTGCTGCACCAACCCAGGTCATCTGCCCCAGGGAGCTGGCTGGAGAGACCAAAGTCATAGAATCACCACACAGGCTGGGCTTACACACCAGAGAAAAACTTCACCAGGCAGTTCAGCTGGGTGCACACCCCTACAGCCCAACATCTGTAGGGTTAGTTAGCCCTGCAAATACTGCTGGTAAGAGATTTAGGCTACTATGACTCCCAGATGATTTTACAGAGCTTCTTCAACCTCCCTCCTGCATAAATCTAGGCAAATTTTCCAGCAGATTGCTCTGACTGGTGTCTGGGCCATGAAATGCACTGCATTTATGGCCAATCCCTGCTAACATTAATGCAGTAAGAGACAAAGAGGAAGAAGTAACACTGATTTCACCCATGCCATCCTGGCAACAGCTCCATGAAGATCAAGTGGCTTGATAATTGCTCTTAAGCTGGGTCAGCACTGACAGTTCTTTGCCATCAAAGTAAATCTGTTATAAACAGGTACTTCCACTACACTGTCCTGGACGGAATTGTCAGCCCACAGAAACACAGTGCTGAGCTGGAAACCTTTTGAACCCACTGCTGCAGAAAGAGCCAGACAACTACCATGGGAGACCCTGCTAAATTCAAATCCAGCCCGGCACTGCAGTGCCTCAAAGCCCGTAGGTCATCACTGGGGCCACTGGATTTCTGCAGTTCAAAAACCACCCCAGGCCCTTTTCAGAAGCATCACCAATGCACCTTCAGCAAGCTGTTCAGCTCAAACTGTAGCAGAAGGTTAATTCTTTGCTCAGATGAAATAGATGTAATCTCAGGAGATTATACTGTGAGCTTACGGTGTTTCTCTGACCAGTAGCTGAATAAAACCACTTTTTGCCAGCTAGTTTTACTGGGCAACACTGCAGGGGGCTGTTAAGGAACAGAAATCCTAGAATACCAGGTTGGAAGTGGCCTCAAGGATCACCTAGACCACGCTTTCTTGAGATTTGTGTCCAAACAGCTCAAAAGACTCAACAGGATTTACACTGCACGTATTACAAAAAGAAGAAATGACTTAGCTTTTGCAAATAATCAATCAGATGATGATCTTCTCCCATGGGGGACGTACAAATCGCCATCAGGAACTGCTGTGCCTAAGCAGCTGTGCACACGTCAGGGTATATAGCAGAGCATGCACAGCTCAGGGAGAACTCTTCTACCCATCACGGCTGATCACGTTGCATAAAACGGTTTGGAAAAGTGGGACTTCCTAACGGACAAAGGCAGAAAGCCTAGAATCCATACCTACGATAAGAGGAAAGGCTGAAGGCACGGGAGTGCTTTGCAGCAGGGAAGGCTTAGCCAAGACAAATCCTGACATACCCAAAAAACTTGTTACAAGTGGAGACAGTAGGAAAAACCCCTCCATACTTGGTAAAGCCAAAGCAGGAAGGAACAGTCTTAGCAAGACATTTTGATTGAGACCACGTTTCAAACTGTAAAGGTGAGTCATGAATTAGAAGACACTGACAAGGGCAGCAGTGGAAGTGTCTCACCCTGAGGGTGTTCAGGATTGTCAGAGAGCTTAGAGAAAGGCTTGGCAGGGACAGCTTGGGCAGAGGTGGTCATGTCCTGGGAAGGGGTGGCAGGAGAAGCTTTCCCGAGAGCTCTTCTAACTTTGTCTCATTTTGCACACAACAGTGGCACTGCGGTCTTCCAGAGCAGAACACGGCGTGAGCTCTTCACGCTGACCATCACATGCAGTGCTTTACGTCAGGTCTTCAATGTATGCATAGGTAATACTTGATTTTTAGGAAGGTCCTATCCACAAACGCTAATGTCTTAAATATTTAGATGGGTTTTTTTTCCCTGGGGGCGGAAAAAAGCTAGAGAAGATGCATGTTATCCCACTTCTGTTAGTTGATGAGTAAGATTCATCTACACAGACACACACACATCATACCTGCCCTGAGATGCCAACCGATCGCTCACAAATCAGCTGAAACCACCTTCCTGGCCATTCCAAAGACTGTGCAGAAAGTTATTCATTAAGCTTTAGAAGTTAGTTCATAATTAGAACAGTTGAGTCCTCAAACACACCTAGGAGGCTTATTTCAGGAAGTCCGCGTGGTTCCCGCTGTTCCTGTTTAAACAGGAGAAAGAGCTTGTAACTCCATCCAGGCAAAAGTTTGTACATGAAGGTGGATGTGCTCAACAAACCGGTGGCAAAGCAACAGCCAGGGCCTGCAAGGGAAGGAAATCCCATGGAAGAGCAGAGTTCAGGTCACAGGATCCAAAACCTCCTAATAAAGGCAGTTTAGAGAATCCTGGGCAAGAAAAAGCTCATGCTGCCAGAGACAGAGAAATAGCAGCCATAGTCCACTAAAAACTACTACACTAATGGCCCAAAATGCTACAGCACAGAATATGCTTTGGATTACAGTAACGCAGCACATAACTCCGCAGGTGCCAGCTCCACGCTGGCTGGCTCGGAGCCTTCAGGTCTCGCAGTGCTAGCTCTCTAGCTGGGATTTCTACATCTGTGTTCCAGAAAGCAAGACAAGTTTCAGGCCAAGCGCTGTTCAAGTATTTCTTCCTGACAGAAGAGGAAGGCCTAGCCAAAATCTATCAGACTAAGTGGCTGAAGTATCTGAATACAAGCTGATCTCTTTGGTGTCTTGACAGCAGCCTCATCTGAACCAGCCATCACACACCGAGCAGCTAGTCAGACTCCCTTCATCCCAGCCTGTGCCTCAAAGAACAAAGGCTAGGCTGCTAATAATTTATTTTTTTGTCAAGGCAGGTCAGTGGTTTATTTTGCAGCACTGGAGAAGCAGCGTTCCTGTCCCTGTGAAGGGCCTGGCTTAGGAGACTGACACCAGGAGCTAGCCTCTTCTGCTGGTCTAGGCTCCTGTTTATCCTCGCAGCCAAGGGGATGCTTGGCCATTCAGGAGACTGAATCAAAGGAAAACCAAACCCTGCAGTCGCTGCAGCACATCCTCAAGGCACAGGGGAGGGTTAGCAGCACAAGGCGGACAGCTCCACTCCACACACCCCGCAGTAACTGACAAAGCAAGGAGACAGTTGGGGTTTGCCTCTGCGCCTACAGCCAGGATCCTATTCCAAGTGAAATTACTACAAGCCTCAGCCTTCACACCAGAAGTCCTAGGAGGCCCAGCTAGTTTTGTTGTCAAGTGTCTACTGCCAGTGTGCCCAGGGATGTCTCACTTCCTTCCCTCCAGGCTCCACATTCCCCCAAGGTCAATTTTCCAAAGGTTAAATCAGACCCTTCCCTTTTTCTCTGAACTGCACTCCTACACCCTGGCTTGAGCAGTACCAGCCAAGTCAGTAATACCTGTGTTGTTCTCCCGTCAGGAAGAGCCAACAAGTACTTCCATGCAGGCTTTGCCCTTACCCTGGAGGGAAATCTGCCTCTGCAAGGGCATCACAAAGGCTCCTGCCCGTGACTGACTCAGTTCCTGCCCTCATGAGCTCTACAACAGATCCTTCCTGCGTCGCACCCTGGGGAAGGCAGTGCCAGTCTGCGCCTTAGAGTACAAGGATCAAGAAGAGAAGGTGTTTGCATCACAAGGCTGGTGACACTGCTCAGACAACTCCCTCAGCCTCTCCACTATCTCGACAGCTCTTTGGCCTCCAGCCTTCATCTCCTCTCACTGGAGAAAAGGAAACAGCAGCTGGGAGACTCCATCCTACAGTTTTTGCCCCCATACCACTGTCACACATAGATATAGGCAGCCCCAGCTCCTGGGCTGCACAACTTCACTACAAGACTCAGTTCTGGCTATGAAGTCTCCATATTTTTTTCATTGCAATACTCCTTTTTTTCACATTTTATGGGAGTGAGATAGCCAACGATGCAAGTCAATTAAGGATACGCAGCTCAGCATCAGTAGCCTTCCCCATCAGCAGCTCTGTGCCAAGCTGCAAAGGCTCACAAAGGGTCAAGCCTTGAGACATGAGCAAAACAAAGTAATGGGTAGTGTGACAAGAAAGTGCCCAAGGACAGGCTGCAAACATGGCAGAGCCTGCAAGCCAGCAGCACTACAGCCTTAAGAGCCAAAATCTTCTGGCAAACTTGGGAAATTGGCTCAATCACTTAAGGGTCAAACCTACAAAGCACATACCTGCCTGGGATCAGAGACTGAGAGAAGTCTCTCACCTCTGGAACAAAGCTTTAAATCAAATTTCCCCCACCCCCTTGATCACTGCCTCCACCCGAGGGCTTGGCAAGTGCAGTCGCAGCCAGTGGAAGGAGGATGCACCGTCGGAGGCACGGCGAGGAGCCAGCGTGCAGCAGGGCTGCCGGGTGGGTGACATCAGCCTTCTGCTGGGACTCAAAGAAGGAGAAGTTTTACTAGGGCAGTGTACAGATCACTCCCATCCATCACTTCAGGCCAAAAATAGCCTTCATTCTAAGGAGTCTGACATTAGAAATAAGCAAAATTACATAAAAACACAACCCAAAAGAACTGTTATACCAGTAGAAAAAAAAACACATATCCAAGAGGAGAACGTGCAATGTGAATAAAATCAGAAAACTGACCAAAGCCACTGTATTTTGTAGATGTTTATGTCTGTTTATTAAAAACACCACAAATATCCTCGCTGAAGAAGTGTTTTCAACCAGGAATTTGACTACACAAAATGCCCAACTCTCACACTTAAAAATAAAAATGAACATAAGGTGCCATAAGAAAATTCAAATTCTGTCACAGCATCAGCTTTGGTTAAAGGGAATAATTACCTTTGGTCTCTCGAGTTACCAGTTTCCTTCGAGGAAGATGTTGGCAAGGACAGGCTTTTCTTTTTCTCCTCGTTTTTCTCCTCAGAAGCATCTAAATTCAAAAGAAGAGAAATGGATGCTGAAGGGTTCAGAACTGGTCTTTATGCCACAACCCTGCATACACTAATCAATGTCTTAACACGACGCAGTCTTGGCTTAGGGCAAGTTTTTATTCCCCAAAAGGAAGGAGGGGAAGAACGACTGCATAGCCTTCTGGTTTTCAACAGAACTTTTATTTGCCTCTGAGTAGAGACTAATTCAGACAAAAGCTTTCCTCAAAGAGCAATCATCTTCTCTGCCCAGAGGACAAGCTTCCTCAAGACATGCCTCATCACAAAAGTTTCTTGCAGAGACACCCTGGCTGCCGTGTTCCTATTAGATCAAGTTCTCTAAAGCCCCACTAAAAGCAGGATTTCCAGCCAACACCACCTGAAGGGCCAGTACAGACTCATCCTTCTGGGAATACAACTTCTAGCGTTCCCCAAGTGCTGCTGGCAGCCAACAGCACAACCCGAGACTTGCATTACACCGCGGAAGGAGTTTGACCCTGCGGTAAACTGTCTCAGCCTGCCCAGTGTACACCAACCCCAACGTGGAAGTGATGGTCCCAGCCAGGAACAGGCAAACAGTCCTTCCAACATGCCATGAGGCTATGGAAAAACGGAGAGCCCTGGTGTGCTGATTAGAGCCAGCTGCACCTTTCAATTCACCTCAAACACTGCATCACTCTTGTTCTTTTTAAACACAGCTGCCCAAAAGATCTGTTTAACAAATAAGGTGAGTCTGAACCTCACATGGGGTACTTGGCCACCAGCATACAGCAGGAGACACAGCCTTGCTAGCAGGACACAGGTAGGGCTGCACATCCAGTCTCAGGCTGCAGGTGCCTCATTCCTTTATCACTAGGTAACCACTGACATCCTAATTTTGACATTGGCCTGTGCTGTATCAGTATTATGATTTCTCAGTCAGAATTACAAGCTTCTGCCTATCAGCATCCATCACCATGAAAGCCTCCCCTGCACAAAAGAGCCCATGGGAATTTGTCTACAAGGTGTTAAATGAAGATCCTTCAACAACTCATCACCCAACACGCATCCCAGCATCTCTCTTTCCCAGCTGTTGCACAAGGCTGACAGCACGCGGTGTATTAATGCCACACAGCACACACGGGGGGCAGAGGGGCCAGAGGGCAGGTATTGTTTCCACACATAATGCTACTAATTATTACACCGACAGGTAGATGTTAAGAATAGGCCTGAAGCCTTCCAGGCTCTTTCCAGGATGAGCTAAACAGGCGCTAAATCTAGAGGAACGCATGGTAGGAGACAAAACTTGAAAGACAGAGGGTGCAATTGTAAAGGCTGATTTGCTGGAATATTCTACGCCGATCAACACATAAGCTCTCCAGAGAAACCCAGCCTCCCACTGAAGCCAGCTCCTTCACAAGTGGAATGTGACAGGAACATACTGATTTTCTTACCCAGAAGTTTTTTCCAAGATTTGATGAGGGATTTGGCAAGCGATATCACTTCTTCATCTGTGCTCTGCTTCCTCAGCGCATTCACCGACATCCCGATGCGGGTGGACTGCAAGTGAACATCCAAGTGATTCATTCAAGAACAGACCCGCTGTTTGTTACTAACCGCAATCAGAAATAAGCACGACCAAGTCGAAGCCATGACCGAGACAGGAATTATCCAAGGACTTGCAGGATGATTCTCTCGCTGCAGCTTTGGCAGAGCAAGACGACTCTCCAGCTTACTCAGACTGATCAGAAACTAGACACCCCATCACCCACAAATACCTTCCCTACCCACCCAGAAGTGACATTCAAGCTTACAGTGAAAAAATTCCAGACACATCTTAATCTCTGAATTGTAATTCTGTTCACACCTCCCCAGTGCCCTGAATACCACCATCAAAGACTTAAAGAACTCCCCTAACTGCCCTTTGTTTGCTACTTTAATCTGGTCTTTCCTTTCTGAAAGAGAAGGATTTGAGCAGTTACCCACATTTGTTTCAGGCAGCACATGGTGGCCTACAGCTATTCAATCCCCAGTCCAAAACCCAGGCTCAGTACTGTTTTCTGAATTTAACATTTATTTTGATACTTTGAGGAAGACAAGAAATCTATTAAGTTTATTTAAACAACATTTTGGACCCCTACAGATACAGGCTTCAGCTTTTTAACCTGCGCAACTCACCTGCAGTAAATCCAAAGTCATGGGCATACTCTTCAGTTCTTTCAGTAAATCCATTGCACCATCCTGGAGAGGAAGAGAGGAGCAGAATGAGTGCCTCAGCTTTTAGTAAAAAAAATGCAACGGTTTGGGAATACATTCAGGCAGTTGAATTCAACGGGAAAAACAGCAACAAGCCTTCCCTAAAGCATCAGCAAGATTGGTATTCTAGACAGGGGGTAGATCCTACAACCTGGAGGCACCTGAGATACTGGAACGGGCAAAACAGAAGAGCACTGCAGACCTTTGTGGGAGTATGGTACAACTGCAGCATCAGCTGATTATCCTTACCTAGCAAGCTGAGCATTTTTAACACCTGAAAAAGGCTCTCTGAATCGCCACCATCCCCTCAGCACCCACTTAGCTTCCAGGAACACTCCTACCATCAGGCTCACTTTTGGGGGCCCCGATGAATGATGTTATTAGCTCACAAGAACAGTTTAGCAACTGCAAGAACTTCAGTCACCCACTTAAAGCTCAGAATCATTGCCCAGAGACAGAGCGAAGGGTATCCTCTTTCTGCTCCCCAGTTCTCATGCTGGCACCCCACGCCGCTCAGGACAAGAGCGGAATCCAGCTGCAAAGCCATCAAGCAGTGAAGCTGAGGAGCTGGTCACTTGAAACGCATTAAGAGGTTCCTTTGATCCAGCTCTGCATCCCAGATCCAGGAAAACAAATGTGACTAGGCAGTCTGTAGGTACTTAAAATTGGTAGCCACTCGGAGGAATGGCAGGGACAGAAGCAGTAGCCAAGTCTCCCGTGAGCAGCACTCGGCAGATGACAGCCTGGAGTATGCCTGTCTCCCGTCAGCTGGCTCTTGCCTCCCATCCCCTCTTCTATCAACCAAGGCCTTCTAGTGTTCACATTTCACAGCTCCTCTCAAACACCAACCACTCCCAGCCCAACTGCAGCACAAGACCTACGGAGCCGACGACTGTCAAGAAGCGAAGCAGTCTGCACTGACAGACCCTGTCCTCGCCTTCCCTATGCGGAGGGGCCGTTCCCGAGGCGCTGCAGGAAGCAATCCAGCTGCCAGTGCCACCCTACAGAAGAGATGCTGAGGGAGCCAAATCAAAGCAGAGTCAAAGCTTTCAGTGTGCACACAAGCAACTCACACCAGGGCAAACCACGCATTACCGTACCCAGAACAAGCGGCTTCCCACTCAGGCAGTTTCACACCTTTCCGTTCCTCCAACGGCCTCCAGTAAATCCAGCCCTTAACATACAAAACGACTGGGTGATTCCCATCTCCGTTATCAGAAATGGAGCCACTCGGCACAGCGGCAGCAAAGTGGGGATCCACGCAAAAAACTAGAGCAACAAACAGGTACTCCGGGCAACCGTCCTGCAGGGAGAGTTCACAGATTAGCCGATATACCGTAACACTACGGCGCAGTACCATACGGAATGCCAGCCGAGAGGGAGCACGGCACACCGCTCGTGTAAGCAGCTGCCTCTTTCTCAATGCAAATTCTGTAAAGTTGCTCCTTTCCTATTTCAACAAAGGTGTTGAAAACCTGCCATCAGCAGGGACAGACACCACAGGCTGCAGTTTAGCCAAAGAACACTTCCCTGGGTTGTTACAACAGCTGCACAAGTGCCTATCCCTGAGCAACCCTCAGGAGGAGGATTTGGGGGTGCTGGGGGATGAAAAGCTGGCCATGAGCCATCCATGTGCGCTGGCAGCCCAAAAAGCCAACCGTATCCTGGGCTGGATCCAGAGCAGCGTGGCCAGCAGGTCGAAGGAGGCGATCCTCCCCCTCTTCTCTGCTCTCGTGAGACCCCACCTGGAGTACTGAATCCAGCTGCAGAGCCCTAAACATAGGAAGGATATAGACCGGTTGGAGCAAGTCCAGAGGACAGCCACAGAGATGCTCCAAGGGCTGGAGCCCCACTGCTATGAATAAAGACTGAGAGAATTAGACTTGTTCAGCCTGGAGAAGAAAAGGCTCCAGGGAGACTTTATAGCAGAAGAGAGACTACGAGAAAGCTGGGGCGGGGGGGTCTTTTTCCAAGGTGAGGGAATGACAAGGGGTAACAGGTTTAAACTGGAAGAGGAAGATTGAGATTGGACATCAGGAAGGAATTCTTCCCGCGGAGGGTGGGGAGCACTGGGACAGGTTCCCAGAGAAGCACCCATCCCTGGGAGTGTCCAAGGCCAGGCTGGATGAGGCTTGGAGCAACCTGGTCTATGGAAGGTGTCCCTGCCCATGACAGGGGGTGGCACTGGGGGGGCTTTGAGGTCCTTTCCAACCCATTCTATGATTCTGTGATCCACATCTGGTAGAGCCAGTCCAGCATCCAAGAGTTGACATGACAACCGTACCCAGCATCCCATCACCCAAATACCACTGTCCTCTAACCCCTTCCCTGCTTCCCACCATCTCCCACAGCCCTCCCAGGCCCCAGAAAAGCCCTCTCCCCCACCCAAAACACAGATGTACAGCCTATCTCCATCCCACACC